AGATCCCCGCGGGATTCCTCCCGCCGGGCGCCCGCTGCGGATCCCGTTAATTAATGACATGAAAGCCCACGCGAGACCTCCGGGGAAGGAATCAAAGGCTCCGCCGCAGCTTCCCAGGGCATGGATTTACCCCTGCGGGCCGGCAGCTTCCCCGCATCCCAGCGCCGTGGCGGATGGAGGGAACGGGGACCCCGCGGGACACGGTGAGAAGGGTCAGCACCGCCCCGGGGTCTGCCCCGAGCCTTCCCAGCACAAATCCAGCCCCAAAATGGGTCTGGGTGGAGCTCCTGGGGGTGGGGAGAGACAGGGGGGTCGTGGCCGCGGGGTCTCTGTTTTGGAGCCACCGGAGCTGCGCTTCTGCCGGGATTTCCATCCCAGAGGATTTGGCTTCTGCCCGTGCAAACCGGCTCGGCTCGGGCACAGGGATGGCTCGAGGTGCCCCTTGGTCCTGGCACAAATTGGGATTTTCCTCCCCTGCGCTTCTTTCCCTCCTGGAAGAGCTCCCGGACCCCTCTCTGGAGGGATTTGTTCTGTTCCCGTTGGCACCGTGGGATTTGGGAATTTGAGATGAGGCATCTCCTCCTCAGTGCGGGGTCTGGCTGTGCTGGGGGGCTCTGGGGGTCCTGTGCCTGCTCATTCCCAAAGATGATGCCCTTTGGTGTCAGGGATGTGGATATGGATGGATCAGTGTCCCCAGAGCCCTGCCTTGTCCTGGTGCCTCCTCCTTTGAGCTGGTTTGGCTCTGCCAAATCCAAAATGAGGGAAAATTTCAAACTGAGTTGGGCGGGACTTGGAAGAGCCTGGGGCAGTGGAAAGTGTGAAAAGTGTGGAAGATGTCTCTCCGCCCTCTCATCTCCCTCTCCCCCACCCCATTTCCCTCTCCCCCATCCCATCTCCCTCTCCCCCTCCCGTGGGTCCGTGCCCAGCTCCAGTTCCCCCACGGGGGTCCCACTTCCCCCAGACCTTTCCCAGAGGAGCAGGGCTGCATCCCAGGGCTGAGGCTGTGCCTGGTTTGTGGTCGGCCCTTTGTGGGGGTCTGGGGGAAGCTGGGGGAGAGCTCTGGAGCTGCTGGGCTGGATTTCACCGAGGCAAAGCAGAACCATGTGTCCCACACTCCGCTCTGCTTCTGCTTAGGGGGAGCGGGAAGGGCTGGAGGGGGAGGAGGAGGAGCAGGGATGAGCTGAGGAAGCCTCGTGGCCCCCACCAGGGTCAGGATTCAGAGCTCGAGGCTGTGCCAGTGCCGGGCTGGCAGCGCTGCCAGCGGGGATGAGGCGTCCCCTGTCCCCAGCCAAGGAGGTGGTGGCACTCCCTGTGCCCAGCGCAGAGCTGGGGATGGGGACAGGGACATTTCCCCCTCATTTGTGCACCTTCTTGCTGTCAAAAGAGCAGGAAAATCCAACAGGTCTGCCCCAGATCACGGTTTGGGGCTTTTTTTCCCTTTCAACCCTCCCTGTTTTGGGGCAGTTTTGGCATTTTGAGACCAGTTTGATCCAGGGGAGCTGCAGGCTCCAGTCCTCCCAGTGCAGCACCTGCCCTGGCCAGGAGTGTTGGACACACCGATGCTTTTGGGGAAGCTCCAGTCCCCGAGAAAGTATTTTGGGAGCTTGTGGTAAGTTTGGGGGAAGGTCTGACACAATTTTGGCATGGTCTGAAGAAGTTTTGGGGAAAATCTGGAGGAGTTTTGGGGACAGTGTGAGGAGATTTTTGGGGAAAATCTGGAGGAGTTTTGGGGACAACCTGAAGAAGTTTTTTGGGAAAAATCTGAGGGAGTTTTTCTTATGGTCTGAGGGAGGTTTGGTGAAAATCTGAGGCAGTTTTGAGGAAGATCTGAGGCAGTCTTGGGAACAGTCTGTCTCTCCACCACCCTCATCCTCTCCAGGACAACCCAGCCCCATCCTGTGAGCAGGACCAGGCGTTGAGCCGGAGCTGCTGCTGGAGGAGCAGCCTCTGGAGCTGCTGCCCATGGAAATTGTTTAATTCCTGCAGGATGAGTCATGAGGAGCCGGGATTTCAAAGCAGCTTGGCTCCCATGTAAGGCACTCAAATAAACAGTGTGTGGCAGGTGGAAGCTCTCTCTGATGTCCCATCAAGGCCTCTGTCTTTCCAAGTGCTTTGTGTTGCCAAAAATCCTTCGGCCACACCGTGGCTTCATCCATTCTTGAGGCTGGGCTCTGGAAAATAATGAATCAATGCCCGGAAACATGAATCGACGGAAAATTTATGGCACACTTAGAATATAATGTCTTTTGGGTCATCTGCTTTGAAGCATCAGCACTGAAGGTTTTGGCATCTCCTTCTTTCAACCCTTCAGCAAGGAGGATTTAGGGGAAAAAAAAATAAAATCACTTTTCTCCCTCACCTCATGACTCTGTGAGCTTTAAGGAGTCTGTGGATATCAGAAACAAATCCCGAGAGTCTGCTGGAAAAACTGGGAGTGGGGTTGAAAAACAAGAGCGATGGAAAAAAGTGAGAGTGTGAAAAACGAGGGACACCAGAGAACCCCAAACTTCACTTTTTGTGGGCAAAAAACGCCTGTGGGGACGGAGTTGCTGGATTTTGATTTATCAGGAAAAACAAGTGGAAACACCGTCATGCCTGGAAGTGTCCAAGGCCAGGTTGGACGGGGCTGGTCTGGGGCTTTTTAGAGCAAAAGAAACCAACAGCAAAGTCTGGAATAACTTTGTTGTTATTGTTTTGCACTTTGGAGCTGGGATTTGAGTCTTTTGAAAGGTCACAGGCGAGTGGGTGGGGGCCAGGATTTCTGGCTGCCGGAATGGGAGGCTGTTTTATGGGACGTGCAGCGAGGCTGGAACCGCTCTCCTAAAATTTTATGGGCCTGCAAGAAGCCAGAGGCCCTTTCTCAGGTGGTGGGATCGAGTGTCACAGCCCTGCTCTGGCCCAGCCTTTTCCTCCCCTGAGCAGGACAAAGGGGGCTGAGCCCCCTGGGTGATGGGGGTTCAGCTCAGTGTGATCCACTGCTCATGGAATTCATCTCCCAAAATACCCAACATCAGCTGCTAAAAGCTGTTTGTCCTCCTGGAGAGCAGAACAAAGTGTCCTTTCTCTCCCAACCCCTCCCCTGGGGCTGCTGGTTCTTCACAAATCCTTCATTTCCACCGATTTTGTCCAGGAGGAAATTGGGTTTTTTTGGTCCTGCACCACTGAGCACCGACCCTGCTGCCTTGCTGGGAAGGGTTGGGATGCCAGGGAGTTCTCAGTGCCTGTTCCCTGCTCCTGCTCTTGTTTCCAGGGTGACATCTGAGCTGAAGGCACCTGATTATCATGGAATTCCAGAACGGGAAGTTAAATATCCAGTCCCACCCCCTGCCATGGGCAGGGACAACTTCCACTGTCCCAGGTGCTCCAAGCCCTGTCCAGCCTGGCCCTGGGCACTGCCAGGGATCCAGGGCAGCCCCAGCTGCTCTGGGAAATTCATTCCAGGGCCTCCCCTCCCTCCCAGCCAGGAATTCCATCCCAATATCCCACCCAGCCCTGCCCTCTGGCAGTGGGAGGCCATTCCCTGTGTCCCATCACCATTCCCACTGTCAGGATGGTGAACGTGGATGTGAGCACACCTGGCACCCTCCATCATCCTCCATCCTCCTTCATCATCCTCCATCCTCCTTCATCATCCTCCATCCTCCATCCTCCTTCATCATACTCCATCCTCCTCCATCTTCCTCCATCATTTCCATCCTCCATCCTCCATCATTCTCCATCTTCCTTCATCATTTGTGATCTTCCTCCATCATCCTCCATCATCCTCCATCTTCCTTCATCCTCCTCCATCCTCTGTCTTCCTTCATCCTCCTCCATCCTCCTCCATCTTCCTCCATCCTCCATTCTCCTTCATCCTCCTCCATCACCTTCAATCATCCTCCTCCATCCTTCATCATCATCTTCCTCCATCCTCCATCTTCCTTCATCATCCTCCATCTTCCTCCATCTTCCTCCATCATCTTCCATCCTCCATCCTCCTCCATCTTCCTTTATCCTCTTCCATCATCTTCCTTCATCATCCTCCATCCTCTTCCATCACAGTCCCGCAGCTCTCCTTTGGCTTGATGGGATGAGACCTGCTCCAGTGCTCCCAGTGCTCTCCCAGCTCCCATTCCCGGTGTCCAGGCCAGTGCTGCCGCTCCAGCCCCGCTGGCATTCCATCCTCTTCCCTCCTTATAAGGCCAAACTATTCTTTTTCTATCTTGGCATTGTTTATACCCCCTTGAAAATATTTAGACTTTGGCTGGGTCCTGCAATGATCCTGTAACCTACAGGGTATCTGATTCCTGTTGGGACAGGGAATTATCTGCATCCCGTAAAATCAAGGGATGTGGTGATGAGGGGGCGGTCACAGGCCTTCATGGTGTTTCCTACAACAAAAATAAGAGCAAACCTGTCAAATTCCAATTTAAAATAAACATTTCCCCACCCCAGTAAATTCTAGAATTCTATCTGGTAAATGCTATAAAACTAGGATTGGGTTTTTTCCTTTTCTCCCTGGAAAATTTATTTCAAAAGGAAAAATATTTGGAGTTTGCAAGGAGCTGAAATAAATACAGGAGCCAGGAGGTGGAAGGACAGGGACATCAAACCCATCAGAGCCAGGGGTTCCTCCTGCTGTCACCTCATCCCCATTGCTTCCACCATGTCCCCTTTGCTGCCACCTCGTCCCCACTGCCACCACCAGCCCCATGGCCAGTCTCCCAGCCCAGCACATCCCTGGGCTGCCCCTCGTGCCTCAGTTTCCCCATCTCAGCACCGTGCCGGTGTTGGGAAGGGAAGAGCTGGAGCCAAGGGGATCCCAGGGGAAGGATCGCCCACCCCAAGCCTCAGGGAGGGAGGGAGGGAGGGAAGGGGCTCGGGGGGCTCGGGGCACACATTAAGGATGTTTGTTTTGCCTGTTTTGCAGAGTTTCAATGTTCTGACTTGCTCTAAGATGAAGGTATGGAAGTGTGCAGCCATTGCATCGATGCTCCTCAGTTCCATGTTATCCATTTTAGTTTGTAGAGACATGTTCAGCGGAAGCCGGGAATTCAGCCCCTTGCCTTCCTCGCCGTCTTCCTCACGGGATTCATCCTCCTCCTTCTCTTCTTCCTCCTCCTCCTCCTCCTCCTCCTCCTCCTCGCTGCCGGCGGCTCCGCGGAGATCCCCACGGGCCCTGCAACGCCACGGCTCTCTGCTGGCCCAGTGTAAGCTCCTGCTCCTCCATCCTGGGGTCATTGTCCTCCCCCCGGCCCCACAGATCCCCCAAATCCCTGTGGGGTCATTCCCTGCCCTCTCCTGCATCCAAACATCCCCTTTAGGAGGTTTAAACAAAAACCTGGGGCGAGCAGGAGGCACCAAACTTTGGTGTGAACACAGCAGCTCTCCACAGAGGGAAACTCAAAGAGCTCAGTTCCTGCAAAGAAGCTGCTTTTATTCCCTTCCAAATAGCTCTTTTTTGGTAATTTTTTTTTTTCCATGCTATTTTTTACAAATGGAAAATGTCAAACAGGAGCTGAAGATGAGGGCACGGCAGCAGCTCCCCCTGCTCACCCCTCGGTGCTCCCTGAGGGCTGGAAATCCCCACGTGTTTGTTTTGATTCCAAACCAGAGGAACTGCTTTTTTTGGGTGGAAATTTGGAAATCGATGACAAGCTGTCAGACCACGCTTTCCTCTGTCTTTCCTGTGCCTCCTGCGGAGCTGAGCTGGAATAACCCTGGATTTAGGGCTGGGACAAAGGGATGTGGGTGTTGCCAGCAGTAGCTGGGCACAGTTTTTGTCTTGGCTGCTGGCCCTGGGGTCTCAGGGGCAGCCCTTGGGGTCTGGGGGCACCCAGACCACAGTGAAACAGCGCAAATAGGAAATTTATTGGGGTTTCTCCCCAAATCCACATGTCCCAAGGGCCCTCCATCTTAGGGGACTTTCACCCACTCCAGGGAATTTTCATTCTGGGGAATGTCCTCCCACCGCAGGGAATTTCCACCCTGGGGATCACCCCTCCACCTTAAGGCACCTCCATCCTGGAGGATCCTGAGGTTCTCATCCATGGAGGATCTCCCATCTCAGATGACCTCCTCCATCCAGGTGGATGTCAGCCCACCCTGGGAATCTCCATCCTGGGAGTCATGCACCCCAAGGAACCTTCTTCCTGGAGGACATTTACCCACCCCAAGAAATCTCCATCCTGAGGTTATCCACCCACCTCAGGCAATCTCCACCCTGAGCTTCATCACCCACCATCCTGGGAGTCATGCACCCCAAGGAACCTTCTTCCTGGAGGACATTTACCCACCCCAAGAAATCTCCATCCTGAGGTTATCCACCCACCTCAGGCAATCTCCACCCTGAGCGTCATCACCCACCCCAAGGAATCTCCATCCTGAGGTTTTCCACCCACCCCAAGAAATCTCCATCCTGAGGTTACCCACCCCAAGGAATCTCCATTCTGAGGTTTTCCACCCACCCCAAGGAATCTCCATCCTGAGGTTACCCACCCACCCCAAGGCACCTCCATCCTGGAGGATCCCCAGACCCCCACCCACGGCGGATCTCCCACCTCAGGCCACCTCCACCCACCCCAGTAATGCCCACCCTCCCTGGGGACACCCTCTAACCGCGTCCCCTCCCCTTGCAGACAGCGCCTTGCTGGAGAGCTACACGGAGGGCGAGATCCGCCAGCTGATCTCGGCGCTGGTGGAGCGCTACCGCCAGGCCATGAACTCGGGCGGGCACGAGCTGCCGCTCTTCCCTCGCGCCGGCAGCCGCCGCAAACGCGCCCGCGCCCGCCACAAACCCTGCGAGCTGCGCGAGCTGGAGGTCAGCGTCAGCGAGCTGGGCCTGGGCTACGAGTCGGACGAGACCGTTCTGTTCCGCTACTGCAGCGGCACCTGCGAGGCCGCCGTGCGCAGCTACGACCTCTCCCTCAAGAGCATGAGGAGCCGCAGAAAGATCCGGAAGGAGAAGATCCGGGCGCGGCCGTGCTGCAGGCCGCTGGCCTACGACGACGACGTGTCCTTCCTGGACGCCTACAACCGCTACTACACCGTCAACGAGCTGTCGGCCAAGGAGTGCGGCTGCGTGTGACGGGGCCACCCGGGCAGAGGGGCCGGGATGGAGGCTGGAGCGGCCGGAGGAGGAGAGACTGAGCCGCTGGCGTGTCCCTCGGCGTCACCGTCCCGCCGGCCGCGCAGGACTAGAGACGTGGCCGCCGCCGTGGCGGAGGCGGTTGGAGCGGTGACGGCGGCTTGAGGCTGTTGTCCCCTCTGCGGGTGGCCCAGCGGTGCCTGCTGAGGGGACAGTGGGTGTGCAGCGTGCACGGGGCGTGTCCAGTGCTCGGCGGGCGCAGGCTGCACTGCGTGTCACCCGTGTCACGCGTGTCACAGGCTACGTTACCTGCACAGGGTGCGGCGCAGGTGTCTCTGGCATGGGGGACACACACGTGCCAGGGGTTCTGTGTCAGGGTGTGGCACAGGGGTGTGGCACAGGGGTGTGGCACAGGGGTGTGGCACAGGGGCGTGGCATGTGCAGGGGGTGTTCTGAGCAGCGCTGGTGCTGTGTGGTACTGGACAGGGTGTGCCACACACTCTGGGTGTGCTTTGGGGTGTGCTGCACACTCCGGGTGTGCTTTGGGGTGTGCTGCACACCTGGGGTGTGTTTTGGGGTGTGTTACAGGTTTGGGGTGCATCAGGTGCCCTGTGCTGCCCCAGGGTGGGGGCTGAGTCCTTCTCTCTGTAGTTTTGGGGTTTTGTGACCACCCTGAGCTGCTGGGGGAGGTCCAACCGTCCCAGATGCCGGTGTCTGGGGACACAGAAATGACAACAGTGGTTTGTGTGTGGCTCTGACTCCCTCTGGCTTGTGCCCCTTTTGCCATCGTCTCGTTCTTGCAGCCCTGGGGCTTTTCTTCTTAAAACTCGGGATAATCTGAAGTAACTGGATTAACCTCCTGTGCCCCCGCCACGGGCAGCTGGGCCAGAGCCCAGCCACCACCAGGGAGGTGACAGAACCTCCTCAGGGCCACCAGCAGAGCATCCCTGGTTTGGCACCTCCCAAAATCCCCCCGGCTCTCCCGGGAGCATCCCCCATGCTCTGCTCGGGGCTGGAATCCTGCGGGAGAGGGGACTCAGGCCTGGCTTCGGCTCCGCTCACATTTACAGCAGTGTCACTGCTGTTTACTCTGCGGGGAAATAAATGAGCCCGCAGACTTTCACATTCCCTGGGCAGGCTCGAGTTGTTGCCTGGGATTGATGGGTTTTCTCCCCTTGGCTCCCTTCCCAGAAAAAGCAAATCATAAACAGAAGGAGAATATTGGTGTCATGTCCTGGGCATTAACCAACGTGAGGGAAAACACTCCGTGTGCCACCCCCCGGCGTCCTGGCTCCTCTCTCCGGACAAACGGGGGGAAAAAAATCCCTCGTGCCTTCATCCTGAGGAGGAGGAGGAGGAGGGCTGCCGGTGGTGATCCCAGCTCAGGGATGGTGCTGCAGGATTTTGGGGAAGCAGGATGGCATCCCTTAGGTGGGGAGCAGCATCTCCAGTGTTGGACCAGCCACATTCCCGACCTCCACACAGGCCCAGGCTGGTGGGGATTTTTTTTTTTCCCTTCCTTTTTATCCAAACGCAGCTCTTGGCTGAGCAGAGCCAGGGTGTAGTGGAGGAATATAAACACCATCCTTCAGCAGGGCTGGCGGCCTGGGAAGGCAGCCTGGACTCTGTAACACGGAGTTTTCCCTGGATTTTGGGAAAGGCAGGAGGCGGCCGCGGGTGCGGGGTGTGAAACCCGCACCCGGGAATTGGGAACTCAGAGAGGATAAACTCCACGCTCCAGGTGCAGCTCCCGAAGCAAGGTGTGAGTTTGCAGCCCTGGAAATGGGAAAAGTGGCCCAAAATAATCAGCTGGAGGATGGGAATGGCAGATGGGCAGCGGGAGCCGCGCTGGGCTCGCAGCGGATAAGCGGCTCACTCGAGTTTAAGATAAAAAAAAGCACCCAAATCTAATAATAATAATGATAATAATAATAATAACTGTCCTCTCCAGGGCTTGGGTGCTTTCCAGGTCTCGCTGCTATAAAACTAAAATTAGTTTTGTTGCAGTAAGAAAAAAGGAATGGAAGCAGAGCAGGGAAGGTGGTGTGGAAGCAGTGCAGGACCTGGTGCTGCAGAGGAGGATTTGGAGCAGGAGCTGCCTCTGCTCAGTGTTTGCACCCTGGTTTGGGATAGTTTTTGGCAGAATCCAGGGATTTAGGGTGTCTTGATGGTGGGCACTCGGCCCAAGGGACCCTCCTCTCTCCAGAGTGGTGGTGGGAGCAGCAGGAAGACGAGGGGACAAGGGAGCATCAGCTCGTGCTGGGACACCTCCCAGCTGCCAAAATCCCCCATTCCCAGTGCAGATCCAGCTTGGAGCCCCCAAAACTGGGAGGAAAACCTGACTCAATGCAGTGGTGTGTTAAAAGCAGCAGGAATAGCTCCAATCCATCATTTTTTGCTTTTTTTTTTTTTGTTCTTTTTTAAATTTCCCCCTGCTGGCAGCGCAGCTCCAGCCCGTGTGGAGGGAATGTTCCCCATCTGCCTCACGCTGGTTTTTTCTTTGGTTTTTTTTTTTTGGGAACAGCTGGGATTTGCAGCCACAAAACTCCCCGATGGGGTGAGCTGGGGCATCGTGGTGTGGCCAAAAGGATGGATTCTGCTTCCATGTCTTTCTCAGGGCTCCTCCTCCTCGTGGAGCTCCTCCAGCTGTCCCGGTGCCATCCCGCTGCCAGCCGGCCCTGGAAATGTGGTTCCAATAGAAAGGCTGAGGTTTCCCTAATGCTTTCCATTTCTCCAGCCCCCTTTGCTGTAATAAGAGCTGGAGTTGTCCGGAAGAATGTCTACAATGCAAAAAAAAAAAAAAAAAAGTGGAAAATTCCCTCCTCAAAGCCACAGCAGAATCTCATCTGGCTCCTTCCTCAGCATCCCATGTGCTGGTTAATATTAATATTAATATTAATATTAATATTAATAATAATAATAATAATAATGATAACCAGTGTGCAACAGCTGTCAAGGGGATTTTGGGGTTGGGTTTTTGTTTGTCTGGGGCTGCAGCTCCTCCCAGAGAGCTCCTCTCTCAAGGAGAGGAGGGTTTGAAGAGCAGGAGGTTTGGAAACACGAGGAGATGTTTAAATTTATCCCGGTGGCTGTGACAGCGCAAAACCCCAGGGTTGTGCTCTCCCAGCCCTGGCACGGTGAGTTCTGGGGTTTCCAGTGGGTTTTCCATCAGGACACGCTGTGCTAGCTCGGGATCAGATCCACACATCCCACAAATCTCTCGGGATCCCGTTCGCTCCCAGGGTCTCGCTCCCAATTTGGGATCCACGGGGGGGAAATCGCGTCCGACGTCGTCGCTTCCACTCGATGAAAGCGCCGGCACGGGGAATGTTCTGGGTTTAAACAGCTCCAGGATCCTGCTGGGAGAAAGGATTTTCCCAATTTATCAAGAGAAATGGTGTTTTGGTGGGATTCAGAGCCCGTTGTAAAGTGGGAACGGGGCTGCCACGTGTTTTCCTTCTGGGCTGAACAAAGCGTGGCCTCGAAGGGGACGCCCAAGAGAAAGGGGCAGAAAAGGGGAAAAGGGGGGGAAAGGAAATAAAAGAAAAAGGAGGAAAAGGGGGGAGAAAAAAAAAAGAGAAAAAGGAAAAAAGGGAGAAAGGAAAAAGGGGAAAAGGAAAAAAGGAAAAAAGGGAGAAAGGAAAAAGGGGGGAGGAGAAAAAAGAAAAAGAGGGGAAAAAGATAAAGGAGGAAAAAAAAGGAAAAGGGGGAAAAGGAAAAAAAATGAAAAAAGGGAGGGGAGGGAAAAAAGCAATTAAAATGAAGAGGTGGAAATTGGGGAAAGAAGAGAAAGTAAAAAGGGAAAGAGGAAAAAAGAGAAAAAGGGCAAAAGGGAAATAAAAATAAAAGAAGGGGAAAGAGGTGGAAGAGAAAAGGGAAAAAGGGAAAAGGGGAAAAAAGGAGGAAAAGGGAAAAAATAAAATAGGGAAAAAATGAAAAAAAAAAGGGGAAATGGAAAAAAGGAGGAAAAAAACCAAGGGGGAAAAGGGAAAAAAAAAAAAAAGGAGGAAAAAAAAACAAGGGGGAAAAGGGAAAAAAAAAGGTAGGAAAGGGGGAAAGGGGGAAAAGGGATTCCTGTTCCAGCACCACCGGCACCATCCGGATTTTGCCGTTCCCCTCCGGAATCGCCGGGCCCGTGCCCGGCTGCAGAAGTGGATGCAATGCATCTGTATTTTGGATACTGCTATTTATTGGAAGTAACTTATGTTATTTATTTAGATCCCAAAGCGCTGCCTCCCAAACGCCTCCCACGCTCGCTCCCTTTTTTATGTTATTTATTGACCCCGACGGTGCCAAGTGCAGTTTACATTTATTACATTTGTACCATTTATCCTGAACCTTGAGGGGGGGGAATAAAATAAGATAAAATAAAATGAAATAAAAAGCTGTTTGATATTATTTTTTTTTAAAGCTGAACTCGGGTGTGATCTGTTTCATCCTCGTGGAAAAGTGGGGAATAAAGTGAAGGATTTTTATGGATTTTTCCTCTGTCACAATGGTTGAGTGATGGTCAGTCCCCACCATGGGAATGGGGATGGCCAAGGAAAAGGGGAATTTGGGTTTTTGGAGGGAAAGACCCAGAAATAATCAGCTTTGGCCCTTCTGGGAAAGGAGTTTCCAACTGGGTTGGCTCAAAAATGTAAAAATTCTGAGGAAATCACATGAAATGGGAAAAAAATGGGAAGTGGAATGGAAAGGGAAAGGGAAAGGGAAAGGGAAAGAGGGAATAATCTCTGTCCTTTAACACCACCAGTCCTAGCCCAGTCTGTCCAGAAAAACAGAATTTATTTTGATTTTCACTCCAAAATAGGCTCAAACCTGGCACCGGAAAACGGAGAACAATGGGAGGGGGGAAGGAAAAAAAAAAAAAAAAGGATAAAAGGTTTATAGGATTTTTTTTTGGGAATGGAAAAAAAGGTCTGTTTATATTCCCCCCTCATGCCACCCAGAGGCCTGACAGCCATGGCCGAGTCAAACATTCCCTCTCCGAGCTCCACTTTGTAAATATTTTAGGAAGAATCTTTGGAGAGCCATAAATCTCCCCCGTGCGCGTGCACGGCGTGTGAGCGCTCCAGAAAAACCAAGGAAAACCCAAATCCCGCTGCCAGCCCGTCCAGAATCAAACCAATAAACATTAAAAAAATGGAGAAATTAAAGTTTAATGATCCAATGGGAGAGGGCTGCTTGGAAAAATCTGACTCCTCCAAAAGCACAAAAAAACCCCAAAACAAAACAAAACAAAAGAATATAAAAAAGAAATTTAGGATGAAAACAGCAGTCACGGGGGAAAAAAAATGTGAAGCTGGGATCAGGGATGGTTTTGGGTGTAATTCCTGGGAAATGAGGTGTGTCTTGTCAACTTCCATGGTGTAAGAGGCAAATTTTATATTATATATATTATTACAACGTGCCATGGGCGTTTCCTTCTGTTCCCATTGGTGACCTCATTGAATATTTCAAAGCAGCTCATCTGCACTAATGGAGCAGCCAGAGATTCTCTGGGCCAGGGACTCTCCAGCCTCTCAGGGAAGGATTTTTCCCAATATCCCACCCCAAAACTCCTCCAAGGACAGGTGAAGAGGCCTCGAGCACCACGGGGGGACAGGGACAGGTTGGTTCTTTGCCATGGCCACAGTGGATGGATCCTGCCCTGATGTAAACCAGCCCTTGTGTGTAATTACCAGGCTTAATTAGCTCTGGCTGTAAGCACGGGTGGTTGGTCTGGAATTAAAGCCACAGAGGGAACTTTGGGACAGGTTTGAGGTGGTTTGGATGGGCGAGAAATGCAAATTGCAACGCGTGGAATTTGCATTTCTTGCCCATCCAAAGAAGATCTCACATTCCAGGCCTTCTGTGTTTCCTGGGGGTCACCTGTGTCCAGGTGACTCCTGCAGGCTTGGGAGCACTATTTGCTTGGGAACACTCATTTTTTGGGAACAAAAACTACCCCGTGGCCTGAGGGATGGGGTTGTAACTCATGATTTGCTCACCCCGAGCTGACCTGGCCATCCTGAGGTCTAACCCAGCCATGAGAAGGAACCAGAGGTTCAACACTGAGCCTAAAAATCCCATCCCTGAGAAACTTCCTGCCCTTTCTGGGGGTCACCTGTGTCCAGGTGTCTCCTGCAGGCTTGGGAGTGCTGTATTTTTTTGTTTTGAGAACAAAAACTACCCCGTGGCCTGAGGGATGGGGTTGTAACTCATGGTTTTCTCACCCTGAGCTGGCCTGGCCGTCCTGAGGTCTAACCCGGCCATGAGAAGGAACCAGAGGTTCAACACTGAGCCTAAAAATCCCATCCTTGAGAAACTTCTTGCCCTTTCCCCACTACAAGTGGCCTAAAAATCTGATTTTCCAGCCCCAGGGGAAGCCTCAAGTGGCAGAACCCTGGAGCAGCAGAGAAGAAACCTCAGGCAGGCAGAAAATTCAAGACTTTTATACCGCTAAAACCAGAACCACGAGGAGCTCGAGCTCAGCAGGGTTAATTAACACAAATTAAACAAACGAGCGAGCACGGGGAAGTGGAGGAAAGTGAGGATTGTTCCCAGTGGCAGTGAGGTGAGGGGAGGGATGGCTCAGTCCCGAGGGCGAGTCTGGAGCAGGCAGGGCACAAAAAACCCGTTGGGGTGATGGGCTTGGCAGGGCTGACACGAGGGGTTATTGTTTTCTGATGAATGCTCTCGCTAATCCCCACGGCCCAGGACAAACCTCGCTGTGTTTTGGAGGAGCTTCCTGGTTCCTGCCCTTCCCGACCCCCTGGGTTCGGATGCTGAGCTCTCCCGCCCAGGTGAGCTGGCAGAATTCACAGAAATGAAAGAAATCACAGATTTAGCAGAATTCACATAAATCACAGAAATGAAAGAAATCACAGATTTAGCAGAATTCACAGAAATCACAGGATTCACAGAAATCACAGGAATCAGGAATCACAGAATCCACAGAATTCACCGAAATCACAGAAATCACGGAATTCACAGAATTCACAGAAATCATGGAAATCACAGAATTCACAGAAATCACAGGAATCATGGAATTAACAGAACTCACAGGAATCAAAGAATCCACAGAACTCACAGAAATCACAGAAATCACGGAAATCACGGAATTCACAGAAATCATGGAAAACACGGAAATCACAGAATTCACAGCAATCACAGAAATCACGGAAATATCACAGAAATGAAAGAAATCACAGATTTAGCAGAATTCACATAAATCACAGAAATGAAAGAAATCACAGATTTAGCAGAATTCACAGAAATCACAGGATTCACAGAAATCACAGGAATCAGGAATCACAGAATCCACAGAATTCACCGAAATCACAGAATCCACAGAATTCACCGAAATCACAGAACTCACCGAAATCACAGAAATCACGGAATTCACAGAATTCACAGAAATCATGGAAATCACAGAATTCACAGAAATCACAGGAATCATGGAATTAACAGAACTCACAGGAATCAAAGAATCCACAGAACTCACAGAACTCACAGAAATCACGGAAATCATGGAATTCACACAAATAATGGAAAACACGGAAATCACAGAATTCACAGCAATCACAGAAATCACGGAAATAATGGAATTCACAGAACTCACAGAAATCACAGAAATCACGGAAATCACAGAATTCACAGAAATAACGGAATTCACAACACTCACAGAAATCACAGAAATCAGAAATAACAGAATTCACAGGAATCAAAGAATCCACTGAATTGACAGAAATCACAGAATGACCAGGTCGGAAGAGACTTTAAAGTCCAACCCAGCCCCAACACCCCAGCTGAGCCTGGCCCCCAGTGCCACATCCAGGCTTTGTTGAACACCCCGGGGACGGTGACTGCACCCCCTCCCCGAGCTCCCCCTGCCCTGAGCAGACACTGCTCCCCCCGGGGTGACAGCAGGGACAGCACAAGAGGGGACATCCCCAGGGTAGGGTCAGTTTGAACGCCAGGAGGAATTTCTCCATGGAAAGGGTGGTCAGGCCTTGGCAGGGGGGTTTGGAGCCCCCATCCCCGGAGGAGTCCAAGGAAGGAGTGGAGGTGGCACTGGGTGCTCTGGGCTGGGTGACGAGGTGGGGATTGGTCACAGGTTGGACTCGGTCACCCTGGAGGCCTTTTCCAGCCTCAGGGATTCTGGGATTCTCTGAGCAGCCGGACAGATGAGACCACTGACCTTCCAGGAGGTCCCCAATCCACAGTGGTGGATTTGCAAACACACTGGATTCAGGGACTTTGACTCCTTGTTGTCCCTGGAGCGACCCAGCCTGGCTCCCAGCTCCAGCCCTGGCTCCGCTGCAGCATCCAGGCTTTCTGCTGGGAGCAGCTCTGCCCTGCTGGGCCCTCCCTGGGCCATCAGCTGCTGCTTGGAGGGCATTGTTTGGCACTGGCAGATGGGAATGGGAAGGTTTTAGAGCCTTGTTCTGGTTCTGTTCCATTCCCCACTGCATGTGGAGCATGGGAAGAAAATCCACAGCCCAG